AAGGCTCGGTGCTGATGACTTGTAACTTTGGCGGCCTCTGAATAGTTGCGTCTCACGAGGCTTGAGTCAACGCCTGGTATGGTTTTTCAAGTACCGCACAGTGCTGCATGCTGGGATTGCCTACCCCTGACCGATAACATCAAGAAGTCACCGCCCCTGACAAATCAATCATGCTGAAATTCGAACCCGAGTTTGTATGTTCAAAAAAGCGAACATCTAACCCACTCTCCCTCTTTATGCGCCATGTCCCCCCCCCGCCAGGGCGTAGGTGGTCAAGGCACAATTTCCTGTCCCTTGCAGCTCTAAATAAATTCTGTCCTTTCGTTATTTCTAAGTCCTGTTCCGTTATCCATTTTCTTAAGGTCGTCAAGTATGTCATGCGTTGTTTTCCTCTTGTCCATCTGTCTTTCCTGTGAGTAACAGATTTTCCAAGCCCCTCTTCCTCATTATGTGTCCTAGAAATTTCTAATTTCTCTTCCTGATATTATGTGTAAGTTTCCTTTTTGTTTACATTTTCTCGTCGTTACTTACATGTTCGATCCATAGTATACTCAGAATCCTTCTCTAGAACCACATTTCTGTTGCTTCAAGTCTCTTCTTCATCTTTGAGGAAATTGTCCCAAATCGCCCCGCCAAAATATGTGTGACGACGGCGACCGTCACATAATCTAGTATGACGCTTAGACTATAATCATTATTTAAGTTTCATTAGATCGGAAGACTTTTATTCTATCGGATAATTTCCTGTCTTATTTTGCATCAGCTTCATTAGTTTCTAAGCCTAAAAATAACTTTTAAGTCCATGTACCTCTGTGTACATACATCTGTGCGTACATTCTGATAGTATCCAAGTTAGATACAGATAAGAAAAATCTGTGAGCATAGTGAGTGTATCCTGGCATAAAAAGTTATTTTCTAGTCTGGCCCATTTCATATTAAGTAGGTGAGGATATAAACTGACTAGGCCAAACTGATCAGCAATAAAAACAGAACATTAGCTAAGGAAAGAGTTCATGCCTTTTCTTCAAAGCATTTCACGAAAATGACATCATTGATCATCTTATTTAGATTATCGCCATTGTTCGGACTGTTGTCCTTTTATTCCGCCGTTGTACGCTCCAGCTTTCTTCAGGTGATTGGAATTTCGAACTGTACCTTTTATTTCGCCCACCGGAGTAGATTGTTCTAGTTCCACGTGCCATGCCTCTTCCGAATGTCTTAGTTATCTCCCTTTAACTCAACACTCTAAGTTTTTGTTCACCACTGCCGTAGCCAGGTATTGAACTCACAACTCTTTGCGTCAAGTCACTTTTATCCAACCAACGCTTTTATCCAATGCGCTATGTGTCTTTGAGTGTTTGAGACGAAATAAAGGGTTCAGTTCGAAATTTCAGTCACCTGAAGAAGGCAGGAGCGTACAACGGTGGAAACGTCGTGAATATGAAAATATAGATGTGGACAACAGTCCGAACAATGTAAATAATGCAAAAAATTACAATACCTCATCTCAGAAAGATATTGAAGGATCGGTACAGACCCGATATACCGGACATATGGAGACAATTAGAAAAGTCCCACCGACAGATGGCACGGATATCGAACCATCTGACATTCCTACACCGATGCAAAGACTCATCCCTTCAGGCTTGGCACCAAGACATCCCATCAATTCAGGGAAAGCTCGTCTGATCCCAGAAAAAGCAGGACACATCCTTGTCCGAGAAAGAATCCAGTACAATCGTTGGATAAAACAGAAACTGCAATCTGATATCCCCACCAGAGGCTCGAGGCCTTCTTCAACAGAATTACCGACGAAGAAGACCGAAAGAGGAAATTCTTCAGACACGAATTCGATGCAATCAAGGCCAGCCAAGTACAAAAACAGACTGAAAAATTAGAAGGTGACGCACAAGCTTACAAAACACTTCTATAACCACGTGCGTATATGTGGGACAACGTGCGCATGCGCGCTTATATTTTCAGAAAGAGGCTAATTTTTGTTTGAATAAATGAAATCATTGGTTTACTCTCTGTCTAGACATTTTACAGTGAGTGATTAGGTAGGCGAACGAGTGAGAATATGAATTGTCCATTTGCCAACTCTTTTATCGGAACATGTAAGACAATGGTCAAAATGACTCCTGAAAAAAAGCGAGCGAGAAGAATTGGTTTCATGCCTCCTTGAATGGTGCGAAAAGTGATTAAGACATCTCAACATGAATTCAAACATAGTGAATTTACTTCCAGTAACCGTTACTACACACTGCTCGTAGTCATAACTTGAGGTAAAGGTTAAATATCTGATCTCGCGGTAAATTACCCCTGAATAGTACATAGTAAGTTCTCTCCACACTAGATGTTCCATGCTTCTGCTTTTTTAAAGCACAGTAAATAACCAAATATATATATATATATATATGTGTGTGTGTGTGTGTGTGTGTGTGTGTGTGTGTGTGTGTGTGTGTGTGTGTATTTTGTATGAATGATTCATTGTAATATAAATTGAACTACACCACATATTTGATTTAAAGGAACTGATCCGACATGCATATTAAGATATTACTCTACTTATTGAACTATGTAGTTCATGCCACATTGACTGATAAACTCCTACAACAAAAAATTCTCAATTTGCTATATTAGTAAAAAAATGCACTCAAATTTTCAAAAAAAAAAAAAAAAAATTCAACCTTAGCGTTGCGACTGCACGCCCCACAAGTTTGTATCCGTTATCAATAACACATTAAAAAAAAAAAACATATTCGATTCGCATTATATTTTTTCGTCTCAGATGCTACCTGAATTTTAACAAAAACAGAATAATTTCCATGCCTGAAGATGACTGAATGTACAGTCGAAAGTATTGCGTATGTAAGAAAGACCTTATACAGCCTATAATTAAAAAAAAAAAAAAATAAGGATCATAACATTCATCGAGTGATTAGTAGGTTACATGCGTCTTTAAAATTTTGTTAGCGAAGTGATTTCGCCATTTTATATCATTAACTTTACTAATTTACTTTTTGTATGAATGATTTATTATATATATATATATATATATATATATATATATATATATATATATTCATTCATTAAAGGTTTCAATTAATTTAATTTAAATTCATGAATTATTCATACAAAAAGAAATACAAAGGTTAATGATTTTGTATGAATAATTCATGAATTTGTAAATTAATTGCACCTTTATTGAAATTAAAATAACTGATCCAAGTGCAACTTTCGGATAATAAGTGCGACATTACTGTAATTATTGAACAATATAGTTCATGCCACTTTGACGGAAAATTTACCAGTAAAAAAGAATTCTCTTATCACTATATTTGTACAAGAACGCACAACTTTAAAATTTAAATTCAAACTCAGCGTTGCGACTGCACGCTCTAAAACAATAACTCATTTCTCATAGCATTTTTCGGATTACAATACATCTATTTTCGTTGTCCTCTTATTACTGAGAGTAAAAACAAGAACAAAATCTATTCCATACCTGAGGATGTCTGTAGGAACAGACGAAAGCTTGTAAAAATAATAAGAACTTATGCAACTGAAATTTATAAAACAAGGATATTTTATGCATAAACAGGTTCGGGGTTTTTGTATATTATTTGAATTGTTCGCGATGATGGATTTCTCGCTAATTAAATCATTAACCTTTGTATTTGTTTTTTGTATGAATAATTCATGAAAATATATAATTATATATATATATATATATATATATAAAGAACTTGGTTTGGACAGAGTGTATTGGTATTCAAATGAATTAGAGTTGAAAGTATGCAGCCTTACGAAGTTATACCATTTATTTTGTGTGTTCTACGCAGTAAATAGAAGCCGGCTCATTGACCACAACTTAGGCCCTCAGACTGGCGTCATACATGCCTATATAAAGCGCGAAAAACGAATTATTGTTCCTTTTTTGTTTGCATCCACGTGGCAAGGATAGGAAGGTGCACACGACTTATGGAAAACTGTTACTGCAGAACTTTGCAACACGTTGATACACAGAGGCAAGTACAGGGACTCTAAAGTTTACAAAACTTTTATTTAATTTAATTTAATTCTATTCCTTTTATAAGGTTTTTATAAAATATCTAAGATTTTGTGTTCTTTCTCTTTCACTCCGTTGTTGAATACTACATTAACAGACAATCTTAAGAAAGTGAGTTAATGAGAGAAGACTGCGAGAGTTTCTTTGATAAAAGAAACAATATTTGAAAGAGAGACTTACTGAAAATAGACAGTAGTCGAGAAAGGGAGAGAACTCGTACATTTCAATAGCCACAGACTACTAAAAAAATAACAGATAATACCAGGGAGAAAGAGATTGGTTGTCTTGGTAAGAAAATTAGTTCGGGGTCTTTAGTAAATAATAATGGTACTTTCTGAGAAATACATTTCTCTATTAGACATGACAGGGCACTAACAATTTTGGAGGAATAAATCGAAGCAGAAGAAAAAGTTGACGTGGGCGGTGATGTGCGTGTCAGGCTGGAAAATAGTCAGAGCCATACACAAAGACGAAGATTTAAAGTGAAACAAAATGGCGTAGAAGATATTTGATGTGAAAGCGAAAAGAGAGACAGGCAGACAAAGAGAGAGGGGAAGATATCATAGGAAGAAAAAAAATATGCCAGGAAGTTGAAAATAGACTTTTGAAAGGTTCGCTATTTGGTACCAGAGTTGATGTTCTTCGAATTGACAGCAATCAGGCTACGAATTCTGTTGCATGAAAAATCGGCTACGTCGTAATTTGTGGCATTAAGTGAATGTCGTTTTCAAATACCAACCTTGACCCCTGCCCCTCTTGATTCTTCACTCATCAAAATTGAGCGCAACATTTGATGTGGAGAATAAATGTATTTCATTCTTTTTTTTTAAGTGTGTTTTTGTTTTCATTGGCCCTCCCCATTGTTTCAATCAATCAATCTTTTTTTTTAATTAACCAGAATAATTTTGATTTTTTCTCTTAATTTTAGGCTTTAATAATTTTCTTTCTTTCTTTCTTTCTTTCTTTCTTTCTTTCTTTTCTTTTAGATTTTTCTTTTTTTCATTCTTTATTTTTTCTTTCTTTCTTTCTTTTTTTTCTTTCTTTCTTTCTTTTACATTCTTTCTTTCTTTCTTTCTTTTTCTTTCTTTCTTTTCCCTTTTCTTTCTTTCCCTTTTCTTTTCTTTAAGACAGATTCTTTCTTTCACTTTTCTTTCTTTCCCCTTTCTTTCTTTCTTTCTTTCCCTTTTCTTTCTTTCTTTCTTTCTTTCTTTCTTTCTTTCTTTCTTTCTTTCTTTCCCTTTTCTTTCTTTCTTTCTTTCTTTCTTTCTTTCTTTCTTTCTTTCTTTCTTTCTTTTTCTTTCTTTGTTTCCCTTTTCTTTCTTTCTTTCTTTCTTTCTTTCTTTCTTTCTTTTATCCCATTTCTTGAATTCCTTTTCCCTTCCTTCCTTATTCTTTTTACATAGGTTCGTGAAGCCTTTCTTGTTTTCTTTCTTTTTCGTGCATTCTGTCTTTCCCTTTTCTTTCTTTCTGTCTTTCCCTTTTCTTTCTTTCTTTCTTTCTTTCTTTCCCTTTTCTTTCTTTCCCTTTTCTTTCTTTCTTTCTTTCATCCCTTTTTCTTTCTTTACCTTTTTCTTGCTTTTTTTTCTTTTCTTTTTCTTTCTTTTAAAATATCCTTTATGCAGTTCTTTGTTTCTGTTCCGATTTCCCTCCCTTCCTTCCGTTATTTTATTACACACATTCTTTCTTTTTTGCTTTCTTTCATGTTCGTTCTCTCTTCTCTCCTATCTATTTTCTATCTTTTAAATTGTTTTTTAGTTTTTTTTACTTGTTTTTTTGTTTTGTTTTTTCATTTCCTTCTTTGTTTTGCTTGATTTTCCAGTTTTGCCTTTTTGTTCATTTTCATCTTGATTTGTTTATTTGTTATTAGTCATGGATTTTCTATTCATTTGTTTTTATATTGTTTTTTTTTCTTTTCTCCTACCTCTGCCCCGAAAATCTCCACCTATTATTTTTTTTTCTTGACTGGTGTCAAATGTGAGTATTAAATAAAGTGTAGAACTTATGTCTATAATGCAGAGTGTGGTATCTGTCATCAAAGAATTTATTAACCTTATTTCATTTTGCTCAGAACTCTTTCTCTGTCAAGTAACTACGAACATACATATCGACACACAAGTATATTTTTACCGACTAGTAAACACACTGACACACAAAACATTCACATTTGACACCAGTCAAGAAAAAATAGATAAGGATTTTCAGGACAGAGGAAGGAGAGAATAAGGAGACAGAAAACATACATACATATATCATGGCTGGCCACTCGTATCCGAGGATGCTCGTTTACGAGCCAATCCCTGTTGCAGACACCTGCCCAGTCACATTCGTGTTTGTTCAACACCTGGTTTATACTACAACTATGCTGAGTAGAACTCAGTTACAGTTTCTGTGTGAGAGCGCTTTATCTAGCGTGATCAATAACTTGAACAGGGCTAACACGCTCAAACCATCAGTCACGATGACTTGTGACTTCAGGCTAACACAGCCATTGACGGCTCCCAAAGAGTTCCCTCTATCCAGTTTCATTCATAAGGCTTGGGTCAACCCGTGGTATGGTTTTCAAACACTTCCCAAAGGTACCGCATGCTGGGACCCCCCCCCCCCAGATCGATAACATCAAGTAGTCACCGTCCTGACAAATCGATCATGGTGAGATTCGAATGTTCTAACCACTTGGTCACGTGGTTATTACATACATATGTGTGGATAATGTAGGCTCTTTTTATTTATTTATTTATTTGTTTTTATTTATTTTACATTATTTATTTGATAACATTGATATACTTTTTAAATCAAGATATATAATACATACTGCATAACGGGTATCAGGTATTTTAGAAAATTAGAAATTTCTGGTTGAACGCTCTGATGCCAATTTTAAAAGTATGTAAAAGTTTTTAAAAAAATAAACAATAATAATATATGAGCGAATGGCATCTCAGCTGTTTGCATCTTTTGATACAAAATTAAATAATACATCTTTAAAACAGCATCAATAATAATAGTATTATTATTAATAATGATATTAATAATAATACGGGTAGGCATAGCGGTTCGGATTGAGGAATCCGAGAGCCGAGCTCGAATTCCAGTTGAAAAACGTGCTAATAATACCTTTGGGAAAGGTATGAATCCTCTTCGCTCCCTAGTAACGGGTAAATAGCAAGATAGAGCGGGTTCTATAGCCTTGGATGGCAATTAGTCTACCGCAGAAAGAAATGGCAAAAAATCTGCCTCATTCGTCATGTATCGAAAGATAGATGATCGCCTAAACGTGTATCATGCATGGCACATAACTGACTGAATAATAATACATTGAAAAATCATGCTGAAAAAACATGTCCTCATAAATGATGCAGCTTATGATCAAATCCTTTGGAGCTCTTGGCTTAAGGCCACATCACGTTGAAAGGCCAGTTCCTATAGGATTACCGAAATTAAGCAATGATTATCCTGGTCAGTAGCTAGATGGGTAACCACTTGAGAACACCAGGTGCTGCAATCTCGGATGTAATGGATAAGGGCTCGGAATTGTTAATCGAAATACCCAGTTTCAATTCCAGTCGGGTTCGTTATATTCGCTTCCGCGCAAATACCATTGAGAAAAGTAATGAATCCATCTCTTCTCCTCCAGCTATGAGTTAATTAATAAGACATATCACTAAATCATTATTATCTATCAAAATATTCCTACAATATAAAAATATTCTCTGGTTTTCAATAAACTGCAATGGTTTGATTAGCAGTAGAAAACGAATCAAACAACTTGGCAGTCCTAAAATATGCCGTGACTTACGTATGGCACAAGGCCGAAAGTATAAGGAAATCAGTGAAGACCGAGTTCACTATTTAGTCGGAACTGACCTAGCGAGAGAAGCTTGTTAACGTTACACCACGTCGAAGTGTCCAAAATGATTTTCTGAGCATAGCTTAGACGTGACTCATGGACGAAAGTCTGGAGCATCCACTCAGGATCGAACTCGCAATTCAGTCGTAATTGATTTAGCGTGACAAGCTTGCTAACCGTTACACCAGGTCGAAGTGCGCAAGTGGGTTCTCTAAGCGCAGCTTAGATTGGCGCAATGCTGAAAATGTGGAGCGCCCAGTGAGAATCGAACTCGCTATTCAATTATAATTGCCACTCCTAAGATATGTGAATTGCAAAAATCATGACCATAATGATATTCGCATATCCTTGCAATGATCACAATTACATGTTTTTCTGTTTGCTGGACAACTCAACTGTTGCATCATTTTATACAAAAACAAAAAAAAACCAAACAAACTTGAGGTCACGGCGACAACTTGTCCTTCTCAAGGCAAACAGCAACAACACCAGCAGTAGTAAGAGTAATCGTAGTAGTCGTAGTAGCAGTAGTTTCCTCTTGATTCATAATGACCAATACTATCGTCATATCCGCTATAATCATTCTTCATTCCCGATTGTGTTAGCCTCTCTCAGAAGAATGCGGTATAAATGGTATGGACACCATAGAATAGAAAACTGTTAAGTAGTATTTGTTCAGAATTTTATTTAATAAATTGTTACACATTTAATGAGACGCATGAGCTTGGGACTTTTCGACAATCAATTCTGGGAATCGTGACAGAGAGACATATTTTCAATTGACAGTTTTACACAAAAGTTGCTTTTGATCCCACACGTTGCGAAAAAACCTTGTTCAAAATGGTAAGTGGATGGGAACAGCGAGAAACTTTCTGCATATTTTAGGCACAGATGTGTATGATTTCGCCATGGAACAACTAAACTCTCCTAGAGGAAGATTTCAAACATTATCTTTATCTAGTGAATACTTAAAAAATTCTACAAATTCAAATTGTCTAAAAGATATTTGGGATTGATTCGAAAGGATTTCCGAATGATATGATAATTAAAGTGGGAAGACATAAAGCAAATAGTCTCTTTCTGTCAAAAAAAAGAAAGAAAAAAGGTTCGCGAATTTTAATCATAAAAAGTCAGCATTTGATCGCATTTTATTTGTTCATCCAATAGAAAGGCCCAAGATAGAGGATTGCAAATTATTTACAAATTAGCAAGTTTCGTAACTGGGATTTTAATTTAATTCAAATTTTGTATGTTGCCTCGTCATAGTAAAGAAAAAAAAGGTAAATGTTATATAATAAAATTTTGATAAAGTCTTCCGAATGACTTTGAATCTACATTTAACGGAGTGATTGGTCACACTCTTGTATTTTATTTTTGTAAATTCAGTTTTTCGTTAAATGCTTTCACTCGTGAGAAACCAACACACGTAAGAAGGTTATAAAGGGTGGTTGTACTATTGAAAAGCACCCTGATTTTTTAATGTCCACGGATCTGTTGAAAATCAAACTGATGTTTTAATGTCCACGGATCTGTTGAAAAGCATCATGTTTTAATGTCCACGGATCTAGTGAAAACCAACCTGCTGTTTTAATGAGCACGGATCTAGTGAAAAGCAACCTGTTGTTTAAATGGTCACAGATCTATTGAAAAGAAACCTGAACCTGCAACCTGGAGTTTTAATGACGACAAATCTATTGCATTCATTCAACCATTTCTATTACACATGATATCCTTGCTGTATCTATATATAGTTAGTGTCTTGATTTCATCTTATTGTTTCTTGTCTTCGAAACCACTTAAGACGAACATGTACCATGCTGGTGAGTAAACTTTATATCGTTTAGGTGATTTCTTTTAACAGGATCACTGCCAATGAATTTTGATTGATGCTGAAGTGACACAAAAGGTGTGGTTTAAAACAAATGCCTTATACAAAGATGAACACACAACACAATGTTGTACCTGACTAGAATAACTTATATTAGTAACGTTTTAGTACACGTTTAAACTTTCCGTTCACTAAAGGTTTGTGTGTGTGTGTTGTTGTTGCATTGCATACCGTAAAAAGTTTTTTCTTTCAATACAGATAGTATACCTGAAGGAAACCATACAATAGATTGATTGAATATTGTGAGAACAAAGATAAATAGTACAGAAAGAATTTTGTAGTTGCCGTTTTGCAGTCGCACAGTGTTGTCAATTAATAGAAAATAGACATATTTTTTTCATAAATAATTTCTTCGAAAATATATTTTAGGGGGGTTATTTGTTTTAAAATTGCGTATTTTTCTGATTCTAGAATATTTTGCGTATTTTTCTGATTCTAGAATATTTTGCGTATTTTACTGATTCTAGAATATTTTGCGTATTTTTCTGATTCTAGAATATATTTCAACGTGTTGAAATCCTCACAATATTTAATATTGTTAAAGTTATCGCTAATATTATTTGTCGTGATTTACAAACTCCACGTTTCGTTCAATTTCACAAAACAATCGACGAAATTTGAATAAGCTGATTTGTTTGGAAAATACTTTGACAAAAGCCCTACTGAGGGGTTTAATAATTTCTTTAATCTAATTTTATATGACTTCATGGTAAACAATAATTTTTAGGATTTTTTTTCCTTTTTAACAGAGGAGAATAAATTATTGAGATTTCTTACTTTTGAGCATGCAACATAAATTTTGATATTTCTTATCTAGCAATTTTTAGTCATATAATTCATGCGTAAATATAGCCTAAATTTTTAGTCATATAGTCCATGCGTAAATATTTCTAACATTTTGAAGCATTTAGCCTATTTTAGAGGGTGTGGCGGACAGATGGACGTCACAGAATTTTATATTATATAGTTTGTTATTATAAAAAATGTTCAAATTTCCACTGATATTAA